CACTTGTATTGTGTTTGTTGTTGCCGTCCTCCAGTTTAAGATGGAAGTTATAAATATGAGCCGGTTGAAACCAGATCTTTTCTATAAGTGAAATTCAGCATTATTCCAGATGTAGCTAATATGCACTGATATTAACCTTAAAAAGGAGGACAATTATAGAGCTCCTGTGTGTAACAATGCTCATATGGTAGGTGGTCACACATCCACACACACAAAGCCCACAAGCTCAAAACAGCAGATGGTTCAAACCGGATGCCAGCGAGGAGGAGCTGCTGCTCTCCTCAGATCCACGGACGCCGTTCACACAGCGATGGAGGAAAAGGAAACGATAAAAAAAGCACATTTCACAGGAATAACTATTAACCATTTGTATCCTCGGCCACACTAATGATATGGTGCACGTTTCAGTGACTGAAGTGCGCGGGTGTTGCTAAGAACAACCAGGCCAGAAGGAACTGAAGCACAAAACACATGAGAAACTCTGCAGCGACTCCCTGGAGGGCACATTTAGGCAGTAATGAGCAGTAGATCTACCGTGCTGGAAGGACAGAAGAAGGCAATTACAGCTGAACGCCCTTCCAGGTTGTGGCCCGCAGAGATGGATGGATAGCAGGAGAGATGGACTGTGTGTGTGGCTTAGTGGGGGGGCCAGTGGACTACAGGACAGGCAGTCAGGTTGGGACCAATCTGAGTCCGTCTTTCATTCACTGACGCATAAATCACCAGGAAGATGTGAGTATTTACTACTTTTACATGCTGACCTTCTCTTTCCAGTGGAGGATGCCGATAATCACGAGGATGAAGACGCACACTCCGATCAGCGCGATGGCCGTCAGCAGCACGCTGTTGCTCGGAGTAAGGTACAACTTAGCGCTCCAGCTACACACAGAAACAGGAAGAAAACAGGATGAGATGTTTATCGCTTCAGAATACTTTGATTTACCCAAAACTCTGAGCATTTTGTAGCATTTAACTCTATGATCTCTTGAATGTTTTGTTGTTCACAAAAAGTTACCAATTCATAAAAATTAACTGTGTTACATTTTTTGTAGGTATGCTTTAAAATAGAGTTAGCAAAACTGCCAAAGTTACTACATTTCTCACTCTACTGGGGAAGAGGAGGGTGTTTAAGGAATGAACATTTGTCTAGAAATATAGCATATAGCATACCATACTAGGGGTGTGAATAATAATCATTTTGTATCGATGCATCGATTCAAAAGCCGACGATCCGATGCATCGATACGTCTGCAAGAGAATCGATTCATGTTTTTTTTCCCTCCGGTCTATTTTTATCCATTTGCTCCTGGGTGTAATTCTCCTCCTGTGCTGCGGTGGCGCTAAACCTATTTTGCCCTCCTACCTCGCTTCCTGGTTATAGTCTTACAGCAGTGTGTTGCAGTGAGCTTGATGCAGACATTTTTAAATTATGCTCAATATTGAAGCGTGGTCTG